CACGAACTTCGCATATACAATATATAAAGTCTCAAAAACAAACGGGCAAACAACAAAAAAAAAATAATTGATAATTCTAAGAATAGAATGAAATGTAAACTCTAGACGAGAACCGTGAGAACGTCCGCGCTTGCACTGCTGTTCGTGTTCTGCTGCGACGCCGAAGTCCGCTGCTTGTTCACATTAATAACACTTTTACTAAAATCCTTGTGGCCGGAGCTGTCGTCGAAGGCGGCCGTGTTCTTCCTCACGTCCGGGTTCTGCGCCTTGTACAGCATTATCTGGCTGTTGCGGTGCGCCGGCTTCAAACCGTCGTTCAGCTCCTTGATCTTCAGGGAGTTCTCCGAGCTGGTGCCGGCCACCACGAGCATTGTCTTGCGTGAGCCTGGACAATCCGCTTCGGAAATCATTTCCAGCATCTCGCTGGAACCCTCGTGAGGCATCAGCGACGATAACGGTCGCACCACGCTCACCTTGGGAAGATCCAGAGCGCAAGCACCGGCACTGTTTATGCTCGCCAAACTACCAACGTCCTCCTTCAGAGGGTTCGCGTACCGTCGCAAATTCTCCTCGTTCTGTAAGTTGTTCTTCTCGTCCTCGTGGCTCCGGTGGCAAGACTCGGATGATGGGGACAAGTTGATGCCGGTCATGCTCAGCGATCTGCGACGCTGTCGCAGGTAGAGGAAGAGGGCGCAACCGGCCGCGCAGAACCCGATAATGATCAAGCAAACGAGTGCTATCAGGTATTTGTTATTCGGAGGCTCCTCGGAAACCAAAGCCGTCTCCACTTTCACCTCGAGGATAGAAGTTAGTGCCTTCAATGGACTCTGCTTCCTGGATATGTGCTCACCCATAATTCTAATACCGTCTAGCACACCTCTCGATCCAGACTTTAAAATGAAAACATTCAATCATTAGTTCACGCACACTTAAATATTGAGAAAATGAAAGTTAAACAAACTAGAAACTTACCAGGGTAACTTCAACTGTATCATTGTATTCCGATTTTAGATCGCACAAGAGAACCAGTTCGGTTTGCCAATCGTTAGAGGCCACTTTAGCAGCGAGGACACGTCGCAAGTCTCCGCAGAGGCCTTCCACCGTGAGACCATCGGGAAGCTTCGGGCGGTCCAGGAACAACGTAAGTCTAGCGCAGGTATTGCTGAGCACTGCTTGATTGGGCCAGCAGGAACTCGGGGCCGGTACCGTTGGAGGTTTCACTCTGCGACCGCTCTCCAAGTCCCTGCACTCGCCGTAGGGCGAGCAAGGAGGCGTCAGACAGGACTCGGTTGATAGCGGCACGCAGACTTGATTCATGTTGCACAGTGTATTCGGAGCGTTCCTGCAATTGCCCAAACCGCACCACACCTTCGTGCAAGAGACTGCTCCGTTTGCGCAAATACAAGTGTTACATTCATGTTGCCAAGTGGAGTTGTTCTCCAAGGTATGACCCTGCCATGTGCAACTACCTGGCATCGGTAAGTACGGAATATCATCCACTAGAAATTTTAGAAAAACATAATTATTAACTAAATAAATAAATTGAAATCATTGGATTTCGGTAAAGTTCTAAATGTTCGTATTCATTAATACACATACCTAGGTTGCATCGCTTTCCTCTGCGACCAATCGGACATAGACATGAGAAATCCCCAATGCCATCCAGGCAACTTCCACCGTTCATGCAAGGATTGGAGGCGCACTCGTTGACGTTGATGCGACAGTCTGGCCCGGTGAAACCGTCGGCACATTGGCACAAGAACCAATTGACGCCATCGATGCATTTGCCCCCATTATGGCAAGGCTGCATGATGCAATCATTGATGTCCTCCTGGCAATGGTTGCCCTCGAAGCCATCCTTGCAGAGACACTGGTAATGTTCTCCAGTATTCACGCAGGTGCCTCCATTTAGACAAGGATTGGAGTGGCAAGCTGTTCTCTTCGGTAAATGACAAGTTGTACCTAGAGCAAATAGAAAATAAGAGACTGCTCTCTCCAATATAAAGAATAATGCCAATAGTACCTTCCCAACCGGTCGGACAGCGGCACGCAAAAGTAGTACCCAGATCCTGGCAAGTGCCGCCGTTTTTACAAGTGCTGTGATCGCAGTGACTATCCTTTAGCTGGCAAGTCTTTCCCTTCCAGCCGTTACGGCATTCGCACTGGAAGTCGGCAATCTTGTCGATGCAAGAGCCGTTGTTGTGGCAAGGATTCGGCTCACACTCGTCCTTATCTGAAATGGAATGGAAGGAAACAGTTAGCAATGAAATCATACAAATTGTGCTGGGCAGAAGGGCTTACTTATGTTGCAGAGAGCGCCCTCCCAGCCCTCTTTGCAGATGCACTGGAAGTCGTTGACTTTGTCTAGGCAAGTTCCGCCGTTCTCGCAGGGATTAATCTTGCAGTCGTTTATATCTACGTATCAAGGATAACATATTCGATATTAGTAATGCTGCCGCTGATCTTACAAGGATATGCTTACTTTCTCTACAGTACTTTCCGGTGTAACCGGCATGGCAAGTGCATCGGTATCCAAAGCCCGGCTGATGAATGCAGTGGCCGTGCTCTCCGCACATGCTGGGATCAGAGACGCGCGATCCGCCTACTGTAATCACCATACAACTATCAAAACCTGCAGCACCTACGGGAGGGAATAGAGAGAATGTTTCAAAAAGTCTAACGGAGATCTAACGAGGGAAAGAACTAAAAAGATAGAAACGGGAAAGTACCTTCTTCACATGGCGGATTGTCGCATGTCAGCCTGGGTATGCTGCAGTTCTTGCCCTGCCACCGCTCCGAACAGTGGCAATAGTAGTCGGCTTGCGTGTTGAAGCAGGACGCGTCGTTCTCGCACGGATGCTGACTGCAATGATCGTAATCATTCTGTAAAGGCAAACACAAATATTATTAAGGCGAACGAACACATCCAGCCGTGGGCGCCAAATTACATCCGAGTGTGAAACCACATTAAGAACGAGACTAAATGATTTATCTGCCCTCGGGTCATAACAGGCAGAAAAAAGATATATACAAACTATCACTCTGTGATTACATCTTCTCCATCAGGAGGCGGAGGATGTGAGCACAAAGCAAACAAATTATTCATATAAAATTTAAGGGAATATCAATGTTAGAATAGGAATAGATTACAAATTCATTTCGAGGTTTCACAGCTAAAAACGATTTAACTTACCTCGCATTCGTGTCCTGTGAAACCGACAGGACATATACATCTGAAGCCATTAACTTCGTCCACGCACTCTCCACCATTCTTGCAAGGATTTGAAGCGCAGTCGTCTATATTCGTATGGCAATCTCTCCCTGAAAATCACCACATTTACTATCCAATATCGGTTACAATAAATAAATATAGAGTTAAAACCAAATTATGTAATTTTTCAAGATTTTGAATTATTGAAATATTATTTGTTGATGAATACTTTTAAATAATATTTATATAATGTTCATAGTTTTGTATGTTTTGCGAGACATTTAAATATTTTCTTAATTTTAGTGTGAAATTCGTAATGCCTTTTTTTGCAGTACTTTGCAGGTAGGTTTTATTTTCGCTCGTTTTGGTTGTGTGCATGTGTTTTATGTTAACATTCACACGTCAAACGGGGATTTTAATGACACATTCTTATTCCACGTTTCGCACGAAGAATTTCGCCGAGCGGATCGCGAGAAGAAGAAAGGCAGGCTCAGAAATGTCTGCGAGTGCTGCGATCGTTTTTCTCGGGGCAGATTTCGATCTGAGCTCGTAAAGCAGGCAGCCCCGAAGGACGATTCATCCTCCTACTCCCGGCCCTCCCATCAGAGGACTAACAGATCTGAGATTTTGCTTATTTCTTTGTTGTATTTTTTTTTGTTCACTCGGCGCGCGCGTTTAATTGGTGGAAGATGAAGAAGTAGCTTGCAGTAAATTGGTTGGGAATGGTAAGTAATGATGCTTACCCGTGTATCCTGGTTGACAGGCGCAGTGGTAATCATTGACGAGATCGATGCAGGTCGCTCCATGCTGACACTGTCCAACGCAATCGTTGATGTTCTGATCGCAATTCTTCCCGGTCCATCCGACCCGGCACTTGCATCTATAGTCACCAACAAGATTCGTGCACGACACTGAATTTATGCAGGGGTTCATCAGGCACTCGTCGGCGTCTGCAAAAGCAAAAGGGAAAATAAAAACGAGAATAATCAATGAATTCTAGTTCAAGATTTCCATCAATCAGATGGTAGCAGTACTTACCGAACTGACAGACGCTGCCCTCCCAAGCTGCAGGACATTCGCAGCCGAAGGAGTTCTCACCGTCCACGCAAGTGCCGCCGTTCTGGCACGGAGCGGAAGCGCACTCGTCGATATCTGCGAAAGACCAGTAACAGATTGAGAACTATGATTCGATCAAACACATAAAAAGCAAACAAAATTCGCGGCTACACAAAAGCAGAGAACAACGAGGAGTGGAATATTAATTTACGGATGGTATACGGATGATCCATCAATATCCAAAGGAGGATGATGATGATGGAGACCTTTTTTTATCGACTCCTTTGTCTGCGAGTGAGCGGGATTATCAATCGATCTGGGAACGTCAATGGGATATATTGTGTTGTCGCAAATAAATACCCTGTAGATCAGTCACTACTTTGTTGGTGCTTCTCTTTTTATTTATTTTTTGTTAACGTTAATATAATTGTCATTTCTTTGGAAAGCCAATTAATAACGTGGCTTCAGATCCCGGATAACTCTCACAGATAAGAAACAAGTCGTAGTATACGGGTCTCATCGTCGTTTGTTTTAGATCTGATCGGGCAGGAACACACACAAACGTATTCGGTCATTCTGGTTTAATTTTAATTTTGATCCCTCCCTCTAAACTGATTGAGTTAATGCACACAGTTTTTTTTAAAGGGGTGGAGTATTAATATTATTATTATTTTGTTTTCTTCGTTTTCGCAGGGGGGAACAGATAGATTAGTGGGCGGCCATGATCAGGTTTCGTCCTTATTTTCGATTAAATGAGCGAGAAAATAAATGAAGAGGCTCTACGGAGAGGATGAGATGCGTGAGAGGTGAATGAGGAGGCGAGGGAGGACATCAGAGGGGTAAAGGAGCTGGAGTTGGATGGACGGACGCGCGGCTGCGATGGAATGCGAGGTCAGAGGTGAAGAGCTGGTCTTCTTCTCGGCCGGGGCCGCAATAATTAAGAGTCTCCGCATCCACTCTCTTCTCTTCTACTCGAATCCAAGAGCACATAGCATCAGCATCAAGCCAAACCATAAGCCCCCTTCCATCAACATCACCGCAACCCCCCCGTCTCGCAATATCTCCACGCCGGCTAGGCCCGAGTAATAGATATAATAACGGGGGCGGAGAGGAAAAAGTAATTGCTAGGTGAACGCTGATTTATACCACTGCTGCTTCATCTCCAGTTTCTTTTTCTCTCCTCAATTTTTCCACATCCCGTGCGTAGTATTAATTTAAAAAAAAAATCTCCGGAGAGAGAGAACTGCCGCGATGGCACTAACCAAACGGGAGGGAAATAAAAAGTCTTAGACTTTCTCGAGATGATGATGATGCTTTGGAAGAATAAGAAGGAGGAGGAGGCGGAGGAGGCCGTCCCGTACCTAGTACGGTACCGGAGAGCTACCACTGTGGAATTTAATTAACGTTCCCTCACGCCCCGCGCCCTCCCGATCCGATCACAGCCTACCTAGCTGGAGCCACTCGTTCAACGTTTGTCATCTTGTCCTATTAATTTTTATCGGTTGCCCGGCATCTCAGGCATCCCAGCAATCTCTGTTAAGGAGGAGACCATGTAGAACCAGAAACAGAACTGACCCACCCCTTCATCACGTCAGATTGAGGAACGAACAAAAAAATCAAACGAAACAAACGAACGAAAAGGGAACACGCGATCAATCAAATTTTTCAAGACAAGCAATTGTAGTCATGAGAGTGCTAACGGAGATGGATAAGGATACAACGCCGCTTGATTTGCAATGAAGCTCCTGAACGTCATCCACTTCACGGCAACGAAGAAAGAAACTATGTTTGGTGTGAATTTTTTAAGTACCTGATTTTTTAACATTAAACACAATTTATCAATATCTAATTAACATCTTTCTATAAGTAATCTTCATTTAATTAATCATTTATTTTATTTATACGATTAAAATAATCTATGTGAGATAATAATATATTAAGTCAAGACTTTTATTGACTTTATAAATAATTCATTATATTGTATTGCGGTCACAATTTTCGTAAATTTCATTGCTAATTAATGTATATGTAAATTTAAATAAATAACAAAATTGTAGTAATGATCGTCGAACTTTTGAATGATAATACAACTTTCGGCAATGATCTTCACCTGTTCAGGAAACCTACTAGCTATAGCCATTTGTGTTTTCTTTCTCTCGAGTTTTCTAAGGAAACGTCAAGCATAAATTTACAGCTGCTTTTTACCTCTCTCTTTCCCTCCTTCACTCTTTTCTTTTCCCGAAAATAATCCCTTACAAACACTCTTCGGGCCTCGAGAGTTCGGGTGGTAGAAAATAAAAAACGGGAGCCTAGCCGGTAATAAATCATCCAACTGCCTTTCCTTCTTTCTCCTTGTTCCTTTATTTTTTTAAACCGACTTAACCATATAAAAGTTTGGATTTGAGATCAATGTTTTAAAAACTATTAAGTCAAGATAATTAAATAATAATTGAGAAATAGCTTACCCATATTGCACGTGAGTCCCGTCCAACCTGGAGCGCAGACACAGCTGAAAGAGCCGCCGACGACGCGGCAACTGCCACCGTGGAGGCATGGTGCGGGGGCGCAAGGATTGTCCACCACCTCGCAGTTGGTGCCGGAAAATCCGTCAGGGCAAGTGCAATTATACCTGTCGGGGGCGGTGTTCTCGCAGGTGCCTCCGTTCAGGCACGGTTCGTGAGTCCCGCAGTAGTTCAAATCTGCAAACAAAAATCGATTCCCATTCGTCAAGCAAACAAAAAAAAAATAATATTACAAACATTCAGAAAAAAAAAAGATGCAGAGGAGAAAGAGAAACAAAACGCTAGACAGATGTTGTCCTCCAGCTTAAAGTTTTCTTTTAGCTGTATGTCGTCCGAAGGGAAGGGGCTTAAATGGGCCGTGAGAATATGGTACAGGTGCACGATGGGGGCATCTGCAACACTTCTTTCAGATTTCCCCTAGTCCGCTCCTTTCTTTCTCGATTCTGTGCACCATACGCACATTTCATAATAATACATCAGTAATTTCATTACTTGACCAAATGTTCTTAAATAATAAAAAAAAAAAATGATTCATCTCCCCTTGAAATCGAAACGAAAGCAATTTTTTTAACTTCAGCAGGGGGTCGCAAATTGCACCGCAATAAACACCCCCAGCCCCAACTGTTACAACTCTATTAAAAAAGCGAAAAGTTCCTCTTCCGATTACGCGTCCCTCTTTTTTAACAATTGCTCTGTTTTTTTATTTATTAGTTTGGGAGCCGCAACAGATGGATGGATTGCCGCACTTGTCCGAATGTCCTCGTACATCAAAAAAAGCGTATAATGTCCATATACAAAAAAAAACGCGTCAAGAGGGGGATGAATATTGTATGCAGTAATAATTAATGGATCGGAGCGTTGTTCCGGGGCGGTGGCCAATAACAATGTGGTTAAAAAAACGACCACTTGATCACGATTATAATCGACCGGATCAGTTTCAACCCCTTCTGTGCCACTGCGGCCCTCCAATGTTTGCGCCGCAATCAAGCGCACCCTTGTTTCTCCGCAAATAAAGAAGGGAAACAAACTTACCCTGATCGCAAAGGATTCCACCCCAATTGGTGTCACAAATGCAAGCCCACGACGACCCATTGCAATAGCCATGTTTGCAACCGGGATAGGGCTCGCACTGATCGCAGAATTCGCCTCTCCAACCTGGTCTGCACCTGAAACATCATCATCAACACATTAGTTTTGTTTAAATACAAGTCGAAATATTCTTAATTAATATTTATATCTGCTCATAATTAAATTTGCATTCGAATTTAGTAAAGTATACAAACGTTTTAAATCTCGGCGACCACTTCCTACAGTAATTTACTTACAAAATCATTAAGCACTCGGTATCTTTACGATGCTTACACGACTCGCATGACTTGAACGAAAACAAAATTTGTCGGAGGGCACATAAAACGCGTTTAATGCGCACAATATCTTAATATTAAACGGTTGGAGTTAATAAAGCAGTAAGTTATGTATTTTGTTGCTGCTGATGACTCGGTCGGATAACAATTGCGGTTTCTTTTCGCTTTGCTCTCATCTCTCCATCAAAATCGAACGGCAGAGGCCGAATTAATTTTTGTAATAAAATCGCGTAAAGTTAATGATGTAATTTTCCAGTGAGCGAGTGCGGAAACCAGCGGAGCAAAGCAAAGCAAAATTGAGACCGAAATTATATTATTTCCTGTAATTTTTTTTGTGTGAGTGCTTCTTCTTCTGCTTCGGTTCAATCTTCAATGTTGTTGCGGTTATTTTCTTCGTGTTTCTTATTTTAACTCTCTTTGAACCTCTTTTGATAAAGTCTTGAAGGAGAGGAGATTGGTTTTATTGGTATCTAGATCTCGAGGACACGATTGGGGTTCTTTACTCGGATTTCAGTGCTGGGACAGGCGGGAGGATTGCAAGCGCTTTAATGTTTTGCTCCTTGGGTGGCAGTTTGGAGAGATCGTGACTGTTGCGTCTCCTCTTCTTCATCTGCCCGTACCACCGATTTATTAAAAAGATGGAGAAGAACAAGTAGAAGAGGTCGAAGCCTCAAATTAAAAGCCTTCCTTTTCCACTGATCTTCTAATGGCGGACCGGCGCAATCGTAATTATTGTAATTTCAGCGAGAAACCGAAGGTATAACAAAACATTGCTCGTCCACTAACTCTTTGCGTCTCGCTTCTTCCACACGTTCTTTCTAACGCTTCTCGGGTTCTTTGTGGTACAGGAAGGAAGGAATGCACACAATGGGGAACTCGTTTGTTTCCGCTCAGAATTTCCTACCGTAATAAGAGGTGCGTATATATTCAGAGGGCATTACCGGAGCAAAAAATATAGTAGTTAGTTGTAGCCTAGGTGCAAATTTGTCACGGTCACCAAACTGTAAATGACTCCTTTTCACAAAGACTATCACCAAACTACCAAACATAAAACTATAATAAATAGTATTTATGACTTAAGTGTACCGATAACGATTATCAATATCAGATTCAAATGAAATTTGTGCTCTACAATATTTGTTAAAATTGGTTTTATCAGTGGTATTCGTATATTTATCTATGCAATGAATTTAGTTTTCAGTTGAGTTAAGGTTGAAATTATAATTTCCATGTCAACGTCCGAAGGAGAAGACCTGCAACACGCTTTGCAGCATCGCGCATAGAGGAGACAAAAGGAAGAGAAAAGAAGAAACGAACATTTGACACAAGAAACATGGCCTCACGTAGGCCATGTTTTCCTCCATCAAACACGACTTCGTCTCCAAACATACACAAACAGCATCAACAACAGCAACAACAAAAAAACGCGTACACACATATACACAACAAGCAATGGTATTAAAGGAAAACAAGAAATGGTCATATTGAATATGATCCTCCGGTAATTGGGCACCGCAAACGTGTTACTTGACTTACTTGCATTCTCCTGGAACATCGCACTTGCCATGGACTGGATGACAACCGGACTTGCAGACGGCTGTGGACAGAAGAGAAGCGTTGTTATTATTATTATTATTATTATTAATTTCATGAAAATTTGCATAAAATTATAATAAATTAAATTTGATCCGCTCGACGAAGGCAGAGCGAAGAGAAACACGCACTAGGTCCGCTTTGGTCTTTGTTGCTGCTGGATGAAAGGGAGCAGAAGACGGCGATGAGTTGGCGAGATTACGAAGGTAGCCCTCAGCGGTTCGTCCACCTTTTGGTGAGCAGGAACAACAACAAGGTGAATAAGAAGAATCGGTGGTGGTGATGATGATGGTGGTGAAGGAGGAGGAGGAGGAGAATACAGTCGAGGAGATCAGCAGCGGTGGCGGCAGCAACATTTCAAGAGTTCGGGTTCTCGTCGGGGCCGGTGGTGCTTAATTGTCATTAACTGCCTTCACCAAGTTGCTGCCTGCTCACGGAATGTAGCTTATTAGAGTGCACTTAGGGCCGTGTTTTTACTGCCTCGACCACGTAATGAGTTTAAGAAGAGACTCAATATAGCAACAACAACTAACTACAACAACAACTACTATAATTCGGAGAATACTCGAGATGTGGATTACACTGAACAAAATGTCAGATTCCACACGAAATCGCAGTTATCAGCTGAAACAATCGAAATTTCTAATGTCTTGATTGTTACAAATCACATTATTAACAAAAAAAACGTACTACTATTTTTGGTTGTTCGAGATTAGAGCATCCGGTATTATGTATAACATAAAAGAAATTACAATTATATAATCCTTATCTCCCTGCGAAGATAATTAACGAAAACGAATTAAAAAAAAAAACTGTTACATTCATAAAAACGACAAAGGAAATTATAAATAATATATATAATGGTTTATCTGCGAATTTCTTTAACTTCCTTCCACCAACAATTGTTGCAGTGAGAAACGAACTAACATGAATGAATGAAAAAAAAAACATGACTTAGACATAAACTTATTCATCATTACCACAAGTATATGTTTTTTTTATCTCTCTTTTCTCCAATGTCTTCTCCTCGATGTTTTCGTCCCTGCCTATTTATATGGCATTAATTAAATTAAAGCCGAGCTAATTAAAATGGAATTTTGCAATTAAAATCTGTGAATATTTAGTGGCAAATATGGGCAAGCGAATCGCGGCTATTAGCATTTCGCATAATTAATGACTAACCTCTCCGAAAGACCCACTGCCTCTCACTACATCGGATGCATTTATTACCCAGATAATAAATAATCCATAAATTTTAAATAACCTCCACGGTTTCACCACCTCATTCCAAGCCTTCTACGGGTTACGAAACTGCATCACGTCTTACCAAAATTAACATCATACTTAATTTCTGTATCTTCAATCACGACTACTGACTAAAATATTTTGTACATTTTTATATAATCATCAGAATTCAACGTAATAAATACAGTCGATGCCAGTAAACCTTTTTATAGTAGATGAATAGTTTTACCTGTTTCACAGTTGGCTTCGCTTCCTTTCCATCCAGAGATGCACTCTTTGTCACCGTTCGCATCGCACCTGTAGTGGCCGAATTGGTCGTCCCGAGGTCTACAGAACTTCGTACAGGTAGTATTGTAGTAGTGCGAGTCGCATTGTACTCGCACCCTGTAGGTGAGTCTGGCCCGAGCACCGCGATGGTTCAACGTGTGCCAATCTGCGCTGGGATCTATGATCCCCGAATACGTAGCCTCCTCGATCACTTTGTTCGTCACTGCAAAATAAAAGCATAATAGTGTTTACACAAATCGAAAAAAGAAGTAAAAGCTAGAGTCAACGAAGATGGCGTTCGCGTGGGTTGCTTGTTGTTCCTCGAGTTGTTTTCGAGTCTGTTTACATTTCTAATAAGCGCTTTCGAAACTCCTGCTGCAGCTTCTGCTACTTCTTGTTCTTCACCTTTTGCTTGCTTGCCATCAACAAACACTCGACTTTTCTTAAATCCAAAACAACAACTTGAGGATGGCCACTTCACGGCTGGAATGTCACGCAGACGTAATGAAAAAATGCCTTTGCAGCAAACCAAATGAATTGTCTAATTCAAACACTCCAATCCCGAAAACTACCACTCTTCAGAATCTTGATTAAATAAACTACTGTAATATCAACTTCCAGCGAGTTCTTTCATAACATTTAAGGAAGCTAAACTGAAGAAAGCTAAGCTCAACAAAAAGCGTTATTTATTTAAATTAATCATGATTGTTACATACATATTAAATGCATTATTATTATTATTATAATAATCAAAATATAAAATTCTGTTCACACTATATAATATAAAATTAATTTGTAATCTATTTGTTTCCGAAATAATTGAAAGCTTATTAAATAATAACGATTTCAACAAAGTATTTCAATTAAATCACTTCCGAATCCCACGTGAATTATTGTAATAGTGAATGAAAGTGAATTATTTTGTGTGTTCATCCTTCAATTACTTTAAAAAATGTGTTTCACAACAAAATCGCTTCGTATCAAATTGCTAACTGCTTCTGAATCCTACACAAACCATATACGATCTTGAGGTATTCCGATGATGAGCAGATCGAGATTTCTAAATTGTACTTCTCTCGATTCCAATTTCGTGGGCGAATTGGACAATTGCGAAAAGGTAATTCTCTGTGTAATTGTGGGATGCGTGGGTGACCGTTCTTAAACGCGGCAGTCGTCATGGGGACGATGATGATGAGAGGTAGCCGGGCGGCTCCCGAGCCCAGGATATTGTTGCATCAACCATAAAAGATACCATATACGAACGAATTCGCACACTAGCCTATCGGCCCACAAATGAATCACGCGAGGATGGATGTCGCAAGGTACTACAGTCTAATGCTATTGGAGTGTGTACTTTACCTGGTAGCGAATAGTTGCTGTGATCCACGGCCTGCAAGATGAGGGTGAAAGATCTCTGCAAAAAAAAAAAAGAAAAACAGGCGATTAGAATTCATGGTTTGAACTATGAACCGGAATACCGAATCGGGGCCATATATATGCATGCAAACGAGTAGAAGAGGATCATCCTCTCCCCGACATCAAGTGCACATGGAGGTAAAACAATGGCCACATATTGTTTGCGCAACTTTGTTTCTTCCTCTGCTTATTTTCATTTTGTTTTTTTTATTGCTATTTTTACTTTTCGCCACCGCGATTTATTCCAATGTACATATCTATGACTGCGCATTCCGTTTCCAACTTAGTCTTCTTAGCATAAGGGAACGAAAATCGTACAGGCTAAACAAACATCGTTTAATAATACCATAAAGAAGGCGCTCCGCGAACGTTTCAAATCACGATCGCTGTGTATCAACAAAAACAATGAAATCGACCGATTGCCAATGCGCTGATCCCATTACAGCCTGGGCTTCTTTAGTGGACAAGGATAAAATCAATTAGAGGAGAGGAATCGTCGTGTCGTGTCTTGTCTCCTTAATAGTTTCATCAACGTGTAACAACAACTAACATCTATGGAAGGAACAGGGAGAACAAGAAACGGCGCTATGTTGTCAGTGTTTTTATCTGAAATCAGTGACATTTCCTACGAGAGTTTCCATTGTAGGTGTGTGTGTGGTGTGGTGTGCGGTGGCTTCGATAGATAGAGACGTTTATTAAGGGGGGCCTCGGCATCTCTTCTGCATTGTTGGCCGTCGCGGACGTGGGCAGTTTTTGCGCAACCCGAGGAAGAACTGTCGCAACATTTTGTTGAAAGAATCGCAACCGAAGACGAAAGTGTGTGTGAAATTCCTGAGAGGAGTAGGCAGGAAGAGAAAGAAGCGAAGGCAAGGCCCACGAGCTCGAGGAATGCGGCATCGATTTGCATTTCCTCATCAGTGCGCAATTATCATCAAAAAAA